GGCTGCCAGAGGGATGTCTGATTGCCATCTTAGACCCAATCTCCCGGGGAGCGGGCCTAAGCCAGCAAGTGGTCACCCCCTGAGGGGTCCCAGACTGCGAGAGGGCACAGGCCAGGCTGAGGGACCCCCCCTCCCCCCCGAAAGCACAAATTTTTGTGCACCGGGCCTCTAGCCCTATATAATAAAAGAGAAACATGCAAATTAACCGTCCCTCCACTACGCTCAAGCCATGCCCACAAGCCAATCAGGAGCAAGTATGCAAATTAACCCAGCTAAGATGGCGGTGGCCACGGAGCTGGAGCAAGCAGGAGGCTTGGGTTGCCCCCGGCGATGGAGGAAGCCAAGCTTCCCGCCTGCCCTGGCCAGCCCTGGGCTCCGCTCAAGGCTACAAAGTGTCAATTATGGAAGATAAATAAATGCCAGATACCTGCTTCCAGCCGGCAGTGGCCTCCGCTCAAGGAGGGGCTGGGAGCCCAGACTTCAGCCGACCTGGGCTCCACTCAAGGCTACAAAGTTTCAATTTTAGAAGATAAATAAATCCCAGGGGAAAAAAAAGGTGAGGCTGGGAGCTTGGGTCGCCGGGATCGTGGTCAGCCTAAAAACAGTCATCAGCCCCTCACCCAGGCTGGCCAGACACCCCAGTAGGGACCCCCACCCTGAAGGGGGTGTGACCAGCCTTAAAACAGCCCTCAGCCCCTCACCCATCGTCCTGATACACCAGGGTTGCAGGTTCAATCCCCAGTCAGGACACATACAAAATCAACCAATAAATGCATAAATAAGTGGAAAAACAAATTGATGTTTCTCTCTTTCTCCCCCTTCCTCTCTCTCTAAGAATTAATTTAAAAATAATAATTGATAAAGCTCCTGTCTCGGCACTTATAGTCTAGCATGCGGTGGCACAAAAGCATGAGAAAATAGATCTAGTTGGGGTAACACGCCATTCCCTAAGTCCTGTTATTCAAAATGTACTTTTCTGAGTTAACATTTTAATTTAAATTGTGATTCTTTATGTACTATAGATAATGTCAGCATACAAAAAAGCATACTTAATGTGTATGTAAGCGAAGAAAATTACAAGTTATTTATATTTGTCTTTTTAAGCCTAATGGTGGTATTCCACATGATCATCTTGTTCTAATCAGAATGAAACCTGACGAAAATGGAAGATTTGGATTCAATGTAAAGGTAATCTAAAATTTATATTGTACTCAGTTTTTAAATTAAGATGTTTCTATTTTGCTAATATTTGATTTGCTCTATTTTTAAGGGAGGATATGATCAGAAGATGCCTGTGATCGTGTCCCGAGTAGCACCAGGAACACCTGTGAGTTATCTAAATCTCCCAAGTGAACCCTATTTTCAAGAATATGTACTTATTTTAATTAGTTAAAAAGGAAATAATCATTCTTTTAATTTGTCAAGTATCTACTGTTGTTGGTTGGCTATCTTAAATTGCTGGAAAGTTAGTTTTTATTTATTCCCTGTCTATAAGAGTTTTTAAAATCCTTGTGTTTACAAAGAAGCTGGTGTATGAGTTTCAGTTCTTCTAAAGTGTAAATAGATCTTATCAGAATAACCCCTTAAACAGCAAAATGTAGACAGGAGCCCAGCTGGTGGGGTTCAGAGGTTGAGTGTCGGCCTATAAACCAAGAGGTTATGGTTTGATTACTAGTCAGAACACATGCTTGGGTTGCAGGCTCGATCCCCAGTAGGGGGCGTGCAGGAGACAGCCGATCAATGATTCTCTCTTATCATTGATGTTTCTATCTCTCTCCCTTTCCCTTCCTTTCTGAAATCAATAAAAAAATATATTTCTTTAAATGTAGACAGGAGGTATATTTTTTATTTATTTTGTGTGGGGGTTTTTGCTTGTTTTTTCATTTAGAATTGTTTACTTATTCCATTTGCCTTCTTATGTTTAAAAAAATTTACTTTAAATAGAAATAGTACCAGTGATTATTTTTTCTTTATAAGGACAATTTTTAAACTTTTTATTATGAACATTCTAAACAGAAAGGGTGAAAATATTTTAGGTACCCATTATGATGACTTCCCCTGTTCCCATTGTTTAGCTCAGCACTCATGAACTTCGTGCTCATCATAAGGACAGCTCTTAATTAATTATGGCTGCATTAGCTTTATTGCTCTTCCATGCAGCAAATATAGCTTTCAAATTTACATTTATGTTGTTGCCTACTTTACCTAAATGGTCTGCAAGGACTTTTCAGTCAGCACCCTTTATCATTTAACTGTCTCCCTGCCCCTAGGAAAGGTATATAAATCAGCAGCTTGAGAGAAAGAGATCACTTACGTCTTTTATGGTGCTTTGCAGCTACCTCAAAGTTAGTTTGAAGATCAGAGTCAAGATTAATTAAGGATAGCATAATATGTTGTTTTGATTTTGAAGGACTTTGTTGGTTGCAAATAATAGGACATTTACTTATGGAATATCCCTTTCAGCATAACTACAGCTTCTCTTTAGACTCTATCATACTTCAGTTTCATGCAAAAATGTTTTATTTGCAGTTTTCATTTTGTCATATATTAAAAGGTGCATATTCAAGGATTGAGATTAATTAAGTTAATTGTTTTTACTGCTTCATCAAGAACAAAAAAATTAACATAGAGCTACATAGATGTCTCATAAAACCAAGTACAGGAACACAGTTACACCTCCAGAAAGTACTCATCAGTCACTCTCTACTTTTTATCTATATTTCTTATGCGAATGTCCCATTCTTCTCTCAGTGCAAACCATTTTGTACACTGAATCTGCGACATCTCTCAAGCCACTTCATTAGTCTGAATAAAAATAGTGTATTTAGTGACAGGTCAAGTCCTGTAATATCACCACCACCAGACACACTCTGCCTTCAGATATAATTATGACTCCTAAATCTCTGCTAAATTAAAATTGCATAGCTACTGCTATTTTGTCCTCAGTCCACATGGTAGGATATGACTACTAGTAACTTCCATATTTATATATTACCAGCTCAGCAACCCAAAACAATTAAGCATGTACAAAATACAGGCTCCTGGGAAATAAACCAATCAGAGATCCAGTTTGAGTCACATGTCCTCTTTTAAACCTATCTTGAGGTCATAGGGGACAGGACATGGATACAATGTATAAAATTACTCTTGAATCTACTATGCATATGAAGGACGGGGGCAAAGATGAGAAAAATAGTCCAAAATTATTTATTTAGTATATATTTAATGATAACTATGTATATGTTTTGACTACAGATGAAGAGATAAAAGGCTGTTAAATTCTGATCAAGAAGTAAGATAGATAATGTCTAACATAGAAAACTAAAAAAAAAAACCAAAATGGGGGAGATATGTGGAGTTACTGAGATAAACACAAAAGATGTAGCTAAGATGTTGAAAGAAGTTGACTCTAAAGAGGGGAATGGGAGGGAAGAACACAAGAAATGGTTTCTGGTCTTAATCTTACAGCTCTAGTCAACTTTTTAAACTGTGTAATGTATAACTTTGCTAAAAACAAAAATTTTAATTACAACTTAAATATATATCTTTTGACCTGACAATGAATGGCCTCTAATGAAACAGTTGTGCTAGGGAACAAAAGATATACAAGGATGTTCACTGTAGTATTGTTTATAACAGTAAAAAATCAGGGGCAAATCAAATGTACATCATCAGAGCTGGTGAAATACATTATGTGTTGCTTTGCAGCTATTGAAAAGGATGATGTAGCTCTACTCTAGTATGTAGATATGTTCATAGATGTTATAAAAAATGAGTATTACAATTCTACATTTATGTTTGATCCAGTTTTTTAAAATGTGAATTATGTGTATTAAAAAGTCTGGATACATGCTTAAAATGTTAACAGTGTTTCATCTGAGTAGTGGAATTACTGATATTTATCACTTCTATATTCCTTTTTGAATAGATCATGACAGTGAGCATGCATTGCTTTTATAATTAGAAAATGCAATAAACCTTTTTTATTATGCCAGTTGTAATAATCAGTGAATGACACAAAAGAAATATTGATTTTTCTGAGCAGTGAATGTGGATAGTTATTAATTAACTCAAGGATGTTCAGGGAACGTTCTATAGATAGGTTCACTTCCAAACAGAATTCTGTGACTCTAAATTTTCTTTTTAGGCTATACAGATTATTGGTAAATGTTTCCTTTTTGGCACATAGAACTGTGTTCCATATATATATTAGCTGAATTTAGGACAAATTAAAACAATAGAAGTTTATCATTTTTATATTATTTTACTAATTTGGAGACCATCACAATCTTCCAATTGGAAACCTCATTTTAAGTGGGGGGGAAAAAGAGTTTTAAATATTTTAATGTTTTTTTATTGTACTCCTTCTGAAATGGATAAAATAATTCCCAATTAAAGTCAAATTTTTGTTCCAATGTGATCATCTTTAAGCCAATAGCTGTTTATGCAACAAAATTTATTTTAATATACAATTCATCTGGACTTTCAAGATCAGAATGAAATGCCAATAAAAAATTATAAACATAACTGACAAAAGCAGATTAAGCATGAGAGAATTCTTTCCCTTCAATGATAATGGGTAAAAAAAAATCTCTGCATTTAGATATAGCATTTTGGTTAATACTGCCCTTTAGCCTCAATCCTTTGCTTTATCAGTGGCTATATGAAGGTACAGTTAGAGATTCATAACTATCTTCTCCTTAGCACATAGATTACCTCCTCTTTTCATTAACTATACTATCCACAAAGTAAGGTGAGAGTATAATTTTTTTCGCTATAACCCTTTTCTCCCAGAACCATTAATATCTTCCAGTTCACCACTCTTTGGGTACCTTGAAGACGTTTACAAAACTTGGACCAAATTGATACATAAACGTATCACACTACTAATACACAGAAGGCATATAGGACTATCATCTGCTTCACTACAAGAAGGATAGAAAAAAGCAACTAGGGAGAATGGTTGTAACCTTAAATTTGAGTTCTCCAGATTTTAACATTTTGCATACTTACATCATTTTTATCTTCACAGCTCTTTGTTATTATAATCAGAGCAGATATCTGCTCCATTTTCAGAGTTTCAGGTGTCCCTGAGCACACATTTTATAAGCAGTAGAGGAAGAATATGGTTCCCAGACCAGTGTTCTTTTCATTAATAATATATCGTGTTGGATTTTATTGACTTTGTGTTTATAGTGAATTTGAGTAGTCATGTTTTCAAGTCTTCAAGCTTTTGCAACAGGAAGTTCCTTTTTTGTGTGAGGTCCAACCCCATCATTTCCTTCTCTATCTGATCTATCATCCTTCAAACGTTATTCCCATGCCTTCTTATTGCTGTCCCTGGAATGTGCTGTCCATATTTCTGTTTATCTCATTTGAATTACTTATTTATTTTCTCAATAAAATACAGGCAGTCATCGCTTTGCACAGTAGTACAGGACCATAAAAATGACCATTTAAGCTGCAACTATGTAAAGTGACCTTGATAATCAATGGGGAAAATTATGGTTGTTTCTAAGACCTTTAAATTTTTCATTAAAATGTCTCTTACTTTCCCTTATAAATGTATAGGGAAATGAGAAATAGTAAAACTAGCCCTGGCCGGATGGCTCAGTTGGTTGGAGCATCGTCCCATACACCAAAAGATTGCGGTTTGATTTCCTGTCAGGACACATACCTAGGTTGCTGGTTCAGTCCCAGTTGGGGCACGTATGGGAGGCAGCTAATTGATGTCTCTCTCTCCCATTCCCTTCCTCCTCTCTAAAATCAGTGAATCAGTGCATGTCCTCAGAAGAGGATAAATAAATAAAATCTGTGAAACCAGTGCTTATTTTTTTTTAAAAAAAAGTAAAATTAATACTGATTTACTGTCCTGTCATTCTAAACATTAGAAAGAAACATTGAGAACTTAAGTATTTTATTTCTTCATGAAAACTTATAACAAGTAGTTTGAACAGGCTTGTGCCCTTCTCGTCATATAAATTAAAATACAGAGTGAGCATTCTTTCTTGTCTTAGCAAATTGTCATAATTCTTTCTAAGTTTGATTTTACTTCCAGTGTTTGCTCCTCTGCATTTTTTTAAGTAAACTTTTATTGATTTCAGAGAGGAAAGGAGAGGGAGAGGGAGAGAGAGATAGAAACATCGATGATGAGAGAGTATCATTGTTTGGATGCCTCCTGCACATCCCCCACTAGGGATCCAGTGCACAGCCCAGACATGTACCCTAGCCTGAAATTGAACTGTGACCTCTTGGTTCCTAGGTCAACACTCAAGCACTGAGCCACACCAGCTGGGCAGTCCTCTGCATTTTTTATGTTGTAAAATACCTCCAAGATTTCCTTTAATGAGAAGTTTTATGCCAGCATCATGTCCTCAATAAAAACTTCATCCTTTGTATTATACCCACTTTCATCATGTTGATAAGTTCCCCTTCACTAAATCCCCTTCTCTGTATATCTAGAGTCTCTTAAACCAGCGGTCACCAACCGGTGGTCCGCGAGGTCCGAAAGGTTGGCAACCACTGCCTTAAACAGTAGCAGTATATATTTCCACCATCAGCTGTTTTTTATCCATTTTCATGTGGGTTTATTGTTGGGAGATGAGGCAGCACAGGTATACACTTTGCTGTCTCTGCAGGAACTGAGTAACAGGTGCCCAGCGACAGATCACCAGCATTGAAGGAAGTGATGTGTTGGGTCATTGGTCGTGATATGTCTATTATTTATGTAGAGAGTTTTGGACTACAATCTAGCAGCAAAGATTGTATTTTATGTGATTATTTACAATTAATACATTCACAGTGGAAACGGAAATTTGCACCTTGTTGTTGAGAGATAGGTGTTACTTGACTAAACTGTGGTAACAGAAATTTGTACGTATCTGGATAGTGCAAAGTGATGCCTGACTGTGTCTAGGCATCTCCAGATAACTAGTCTTATCTGTATGGCTATGCATGTAATAAGGCATCAGGGGAAAAGTTGTTGAATGAAAATAGAAAAAAGTATAGTATCTTCATGGGAAAGCTAGATTTCTGTTTGGTTTGGTTTTTTGTTTTTTTTGAGTAGATGAATGAATGGATAGATGTTTTTCTATATGTAGTTTTAGTTCTATAGAGTCTATAAAAATAAATTTTTGTGCTTTACTTTTTGAAAGCCATGTACAAATCTGAAACCTTATTTGCATTACGTTGCAGGCTGACCTCTGTGTCCCTCGACTGAATGAAGGGGACCAAGTTGTACTGATAAATGGTCGGGACATTGCAGAACATACCCATGACCAGGTTGTCCTGTTTATTAAAGCTAGCTGTGAGAGACATTCTGGGGAACTCGTACTTCTAGTCCGACCTAATGGTAAGTAGTCTACGTAGCGCTGGATAGTTTTCATAATTATTAGTGTTTCTTAATGGAATAGCAGCCAGAGTAGGCTTTGAAACCTAAACCTGTCTTGTCATATCAGTTTCCTGCTCAAAGTATAGTGGCTTCCATTCACACTTGGAGTAAAATGTAAGTTCTTGACCTCCTTGCCTACCACTCAGCCTTGCTCACTCTGTTCTGTGCTGGCTTTCCTGCTATTCCTTCTGCCTACATTTTGTATGATTTTCCTGATTTTGTATGACATACTCTCACTTCCTTCAGGTTTCCTGTCACGTGTGATCCTCAGAAAGTCCTTCTCTTCTGACTACCATAGCTAAAATGGCCTCCTCCTTCTCCCACTTGCTCTAGTAGTAGTAATAGATAATCAATAAATAATTGTTGAATGAATTAGTAAATTTTGAACTCTGTTCCACTTTTAGAAAACTCTGTAACAAGCTACAGTTAAAGCATTTTTTTAAGCCTGTCTTTGTTTTTAGTAGAGAATGCCTAGTAGCCTAATCATGTCATCTCCTGCTCTGGACAGCTGATGTGCTAATTCAGAGTCAGAGTCCCAGGGTTGGAGAAGCCCTAATGCTGTAAGCTCTGGCTCCTTTACTGACTGCTTGAGTTCCTCGGTAGCGATCTCAAGAATGTCCTACCGGTGCAGAGCACTCAGTAGCTCATGAAGTAGTTCATCCCCCCTTTGAATACCTTGAACTATTAATTTGAACTAAAATCCAAATTCCTTCAGTCCTGTTGTTCCTAATTCTGTCACTTTGTGTTATGCAGAATAAATTTAATCCCTCTTCCTTCAGTTTTTTGACAATAGCTGATTTTACCAGAAACCCTCCCCCTTTCCTCCAGTTCAGTAACTCCAGATCCTTCAGTGAGTGTTCATATGGCATTGTTTCAAGTTCCCTCCACACTGTATCAATCTCCTCTGGAAAAAGTTCTTGTATGCCTGTATCCCAGCATTAGACATAGTCTTCTGGTTTTATTCTGAACAGTTTACTATTAATCATAGTCTTAGCCATAAGAGTAATTATTGGTTAATGCTATATTACCAGTTGTTGAATATATACCTGTGGTATATATTCAAGTAAAATGTAATTAGAACTCTACCTATTCCCACACCACACCCAACCCTGTAAAAATTGCAAGAAAAACATACAAAACTCATTTTGCCTGTTGTGTACAAATAGGCATTTTCATTCCATCTTTTCTACTTTGTTTTTCTGCTTTCATGTGTAAATATGTCTCTCTTCTCTGTGTCCAGTGCGGCTAGAGAGCAGTCCGGTTCCTGAGTAGGGGCGGCTGGGGATTGAGAAAATGAAAGAAAGAGACAGACACAGAGATGGAAGAAAAAAGCTGGGGCCGCCGGGTGGGACCATTGTCCTCTGATGATGAGACAGGGACAAGGGACCCCAAGCCAATACAGCGAACGTATTTAATTTATACAGCAAAAAAACAGGAAGTTTTACTGAAAGTCAAGACAAAGGAGATTATGCGCATTCTTGGGTGGACCCAAGTCGTATTCATTCCTGGTACTTGGCTGGATTTAAATAACAAAACCTACCCCCTGGCACCTGGGCTGAAGGTCAAGCTGACAACACTCCTGCCTTTTGGCAAAGGGTGTTTCCAGGACATGGCTTTGCTGACGCCACTGGATTCAGCTGACAATAATTAAAGAAATGCCCATGTGCCTTCCCAGGTGCTCTCCACATTCATGATCTGGAATTTGCATTCTAGGAAAATTCGCAGGACTCCAACACTGTTATGCCCAGATTTCAGGATCCCCAAGAAACCACACCAGGGAGCCAGCCGAGTCCTATGCAAAAGCATTAGAGTCTTTATTCAAGCTAGCTCAGGCTCCCCGTCTACCACACTCGCCGACGCAGCAGCAAGAGGCAGAGAGCGAGCCAGCTCTGTGGGGAAAGGGGCTTTATAGTAAGGGGAGGAGAGAGGACTGTGGGCCCTGCCGATTGGCCAGGCACAAGTCGGTGTCTTGTTACACAGGATGTGGTCGTATCTATGGCGCGCACTTCCCTTAATTATCATTGATTAGTTTAAAGAAATTCTAGGTGTGGCTAGCAGAGGCTTGGGCTCCCGGGAAGAAGCTCCTTGCTGAGTACATGGCTGCTGCCCAAAAATGGAGGTTCTGGGGCAAGATGGAGGGCGTAGCCCTCGCCCTTTCAAACACAACATTCTATTTTGACTTTTCAAGGAACTCATTTAGATCTGATACTTAGGTGATTCATTATTAGGCATTTTCTGTTAAGTAAGCAACTTAAATTTTATACTAAGATAACATCCTCTCTGTTTTTTTTCTCTTGATAACAGATATTAAAGAACATAATAATAATAGTTTTTAAATGTTTTCCATGCACCTGAACTCTTCTATATTCTCATTTAATCTTTACAGCTATCCAGTGACATATGTGACATCCCCATTTTATAGTTGAGGACATTTTGACACCTAGACATTCAGTTTCTGCTCACAAATTTATGACTAGTACGGACCCAAATATAAACAAAAGTCCATATAATGGAAAAGTCTTAGCTTTTTTGCAGTTCAAATCACCTCATTTATACTTTAAATTAGGAGAGGAACCCACCTAGGTCTTGACAAAACGTCTTTCTATTATTATTTTATTGTCAAAATCTGGGCAAGACCTGTATTCACTTTCAGGGTCTACCTTGTCCTTTTTTTACTTAAAATAACAAACAGCAGGTCATCGAATAATTTTTCATTGAACATCTGATATTGTTATGCCCAGATTCCAGGATCCCCAAAAGACCACCAGGGAGCCAGCCAGGTCCGATGCAAAAACAAAAAGAGTCTTTATTCGAGCTAGCTCAAGCTCTCCATCCACCACACTCGCCGACGCAGCAGCAGGGGGCAGAGAGAGCCAGCTCTGTGGGGAGCGGGGTTTTATAGTAAGGGGAGGAGAGAGGACTGTGGGCCCTGCCAATTGGCCAGGCGCAAGTCTTGGTCTTGTTCCACAGGATTTGGTTGTGTCTATGGCGCGCACTTCCCTTAATTATCATTGGTTAGTTTAAAGAAATCCTAGGTGTGGCTAGCAGAGGCTTGGGCTCCCGGGAAGAAGCTCCTTGCTGAGCACATGGCTGCCCAAAAATGGAGGATCTGGGGCAAGATGGAGGGCGTAGCCCTCGCCCTTTCAGATATAACATTGATGAGAAAAAGAAAAAGATTCCTGGCCAGATCACTGTGTGAAGTTTCCACATTCTCCCTATGTCTCCCGGGGTGTTCTCTGCTGACTCGGGTTCCTCTCACATCCCAAAGATACGCACGTGAGGTGAATTGACGTTTCTACCTTGTCCTAGTCTGAGCGAGTATGAATGTGTGTGTGAGTGGCCCTGTGATGGAAGGGCATCCTGTCTAGGTGCCCTGAACTGCCAGGTGAGGTTCTAGCCACCTGCGATCCTGAACCAAATAAGCAGGTTGGAAAATAATTATTTTACCTGTTTTTATTAATTTTTATTAAATTTGTGAATAGCTCACATTTATTTCAATATTTAATATTAGAAGTAGTATCAACAATGTTAAGTGAAGACGTACTGCATAATCAAAATTTAAAATTATGTTTGCCAAAAATATCAGAAAAAGAGTTTCTCTTTTTCTGGTATTTTCCCCTTTAAGTCTTATTTCTTCTTAGACAATATGCATTCATTCCTTTTTGCTTTTTTGTTCTTCATTTCCAAAATTTATTCTTCCCAAAAGTACATACATATCTGAGCAAGAACCAAAACTCTTAGTCAAGGATATAAGAGACCCCTAGCTTGACTCCATTCTTTAGAGGGCTGTTTTCTGTCTCTCCTTCAGCCTTGCCTCCCACCACCACCACCACCGTGGGGTCAGGATTTTGTAGGAGCAAGGGGACATGCCAGGGCATCACCTGTGACTTCCCCATCCTTCTTAGACCACTATTTTCAACTTTCAATTCTCTGTCCAAATAGCTCTGAGTCTGTGTGCCCATTTTCCCCAAATCTATTCTCCCAAGGTGGCTCACATGATGTGTGTAGACTTAGGGGGCATGGCTACTAGTAAGATGGAGCAATTTGCAGAGAGATGTAAACAAGCTTACATATGGATTGGGATGTTCATGGGAATGTTGATATTCTCCCATGTTAAATAATGTATCTGAGGGCAAGAAAAGAAAGAGGGTGGACTATAGGCCAGGGTCTAGGGTCTGTCTCTCCTCACACTGCCTTGGCCATGAATTCTGGCCTAGGTTCTCATTTGAAATGCAGACTCCGAGGTTGTTTTGTAAATATGTCAAGGAGAGGACAAAACATGTTTTGTTTAGAACTCTGTTTCCTTTATAACCATTCGTATCTAGACATATAGTATATAGGCTTCTATTTGTACTCTTGCCTTACGTCCCACAAATAGGACAGGTCTCTTTAGAGCTGCTTCTTGGCAGCTCCTCTTTTTCTTAATGTCTCTACAAGTTATGGAGATTTTCAGCAATTATAGCCAAGAACCGTTCTTTTCCTCTAAGGTGCGGCAAACTTCTTCGTCTCCGCAGTCACCGTTTGCCCCTACACCATGACATCAGACTCAGATCTGATGAATTATGAATAAATAAATTATTTTTCCTGACACATAATTAAAGAATAAATCTGGTAAATTCTTTTCCCAATTCATTAAGTTCTTCATGTGTCTTTATTAAAATTTTTATTTTATTTTTTTGTCTTAGCTGTCTATGATGTAGTGGAAGAAAAGCTAGAAACTGAGCCAGACTTCCAGTACATTCCTGAAAAAGCCCCACTAGATAGCGTCCATCAGGATGATCATTCCCTGCGGGAGTCAATGATCCAGCTAGCTGAGGGGCTTATCACGGGAACAGTCCTGACACAATTTGATGTAAGTAATATTGTATGGTTTTTGTTTTTTTTTTAAGATTTTTTAAATTTTAATATTTAAAGAGAGAATTGGGAAGGAGAGAGAGAAATATCCATCCCCACTGGATCAAGCCTGCAACCTGAGCATGTGCCCTGACAGGGAATTGAACCAGCAACCTTTCAGTGCACAGGACTACACCCGACCAACTGAGACACACCAGCCAGGGCAATATTGTATGATTTCTTTTTTCTTTTTTTTTTAAATTGATTTCAGAGAGAAAGGGAGAGGGAGAGAGAGAGAGAAACACCAATGATGAGAGAGAATCATTGATTGGCTGCCTCCTGCACTCCCCCTACTGGGGATTGAGCCCGAAACCCGGGCATGTGCCCTTGACCGGAGTAGAACTTGGGACCCTTCAGTCCACAGGCCAACGCTCAATCCACTGAGCCAAACCAGCTAGGGCTGTATGATTTCTTAACTGCCTTATCTATCAGTTATAATTTACAAACTAAAATGGCATTCTGAGAAATATTTGAGAATAGTTCTAAAATACAAAGTTTTAAAAATTGCTCCCAAAACACTAGCTATGGTTACATAAATAGATGTCTACTTAAAAGAGAAAAATAGATTTTTATGCATATGTCATCAAACTACATTTTTTTCTGTAATTAAATAACTGTTTTTGTGACAGTTGGCAGATGAAGGTAGGCAATTGCAGACTTAAAAATCCTAAGTTAAAGGAAAATAACTTGAACCTTGTAATATTTAATTTTTGTCAGTGTAGTTAGCCATCATTAGTATTTGTGCTCTGAAGTATATGTTACAGGTAACTGACTAAAACATTTGTGACTAAAAAAAATTTAAGGTCTGTCAGTTTTGCTTGTTTCTTTAAGTTCTGGGTTCATATACTTTAAATATCTACAAACTAAATAAAAGCTAAATGTTTTCTGCAGATTTTCTGTTCAAAACTTCAGGTACTTTTTGCTGTAAGAAAAATTGTCTTCATTTATTTTGCCATTCTCTAAATCAGTGGTTCTCAGCCTTCCTAATGCCGCGACCCTTTAATACAGTTCCTCATGTTGTGGTGACCCCAACCATAAAATTATTTTCGTTGCTACTTCATAACTGTAATTTTGCTACTGTTATGAATCGTAATGTAAATATCTGATATGCTATATGTGTTTTCCGATGGTCGCGACCCACAGGTTGAGAACCACTGCTAAATTATGATGTACAACTCATATCAGAATTTGTACAGAATTTAGTTTTGCAAATCTGGTTTAATATCCTATCAGCCTAAGGTACATCATTGTATAGATGAGGTTTTCTAAGGGAAAAAAAAAGCTTGTTTCATAGCATAGGAACAAGTCGGAAAAACAAAATGATAAATAACTTTTGATGGCTTGCTGATCTCGTACCTTTTTGTTTTGTTTTGTTTTGTTTTAGCAACTATATCGGAAAAAACCTGGAATGACAATGTCTTGTGCCAAATTACCTCAGAATATTTCCAAAAATAGATACAGAGATATTTCGCCTTGTAAGTATCTATGATTTCTGTATGTTAGGCTTTAATCTTTTAACATAACTTTACTAAAAAAATTTTCTTTTGAAATTTTTTCAGATGATGCTACACGGGTCATTTTAAAGGGTAATGAAGATTATATCAATGCAAATTATATAAATGTAAGTTTATTTTTATTATATCATTGGTATAAGAAGGGCCACTATAAACTGAGATTTAATTACTTTTTGTTAAAAGCCTAACCTTGAGAGAATATTAAAACTTTTACATATTTTAAAATATTATAAAATTAATGTTAAAAATAGTTTGATACTGGCATATTAATATATACATAGAACAGTGAAATGGAATAATCTAGTCTAGAAATAGGCTGAAATAAAGACTAGAATTTTGTTTACGGTAGAGATAGCCTTTTAAATTATTTAAGGTAAAACTGATGATCTAGTAAATGAATTCGGTCTATCTGGAATATACCATGGTAAGGAGGTCTCCTCCCACCCCCATGGGGCAAAAAGAGGATTACTATTTTTACTTTGTATTACAGAAAATTTTAAACATACATAAGTAGAGTAAAAGTAAAATGAACCTCCTTATACATATGACTCAGCTTCAACAATTACCAACTAATGGCCAACTTTGTTTCATCTATCCCCCCACACCGTGCCCCCCACACATCCACATTGTTTTGGAACAAATCCACACATCATATAATTGATCTATAAACACTTTACACATTCTTGAGGCCAGCATACATTTTAGATGTATCAAATATAAATGTATGAAATGGACATGAAAATACTTGGAGGAATATGTGAGAATTGTTTAAAATCTCAGAAGGGAGAAGGCTTTTCTAAGCTTAGGTACATGTCTGAGCTATAAAAAAAGATTGATGAGTTGGGCAATGTATAAATTTTAATTTGGGGGATGCTTTGAAAAGTACTAAAATGAAATGACAAACTGAATTTTTTAAATAGTATAAAGGGCTTATTTCATCAATATATAAAGAGCTCTATAAGTCTCCGCCACCGTCGCTACACTCACCAGCCATGAGCCCAGCTTGTGGCTGAGCAGCACTCCCTCTGTGGGAACACACTGACCACCAGGAGGCAGCTCCTGCATTGAGCGTCTGCTCCCTGGTGGTCAGTGTGTGTCATACTGACCGGTTGTTCCGCAGTTTGGTTGATTTGCATATTAGCCTTTTATTATATAGGATGGCCAATCTTGTTCCATCTAAACACTACCCCCCCCCCCGATTTATTTAAATCAAATATATCACTTTTTGTAAATACAATCAATTCTTATTATTTGTGATAGTCTATAAAGTCTTCATTAACCCTGAATTAGCAAATACTGAATCCTTGCTGCAAGGGAAAAATATATGGTATGGGTCCCATGAGCCTCTATTTGCAACATTTTTGTCAGTTAATCAGTACATAACCTTGCTTCTGTTTAAAGATACCTTATTTAATACACATTGTTGATTAATTAACATTGAACTCACACCCAACAGCACTATAACTCATGCCTGAAAGAAGCTTATCTAATGTGTATTTTCTCCATAAGGCATTTCATGGCCTCTTTACACTTAGAACAGTAGGCAGCACTTTAGCACTTGGGGACTGTTTTAAACAGTGAAATCGCTAACAACAAGCACAGAAATTTTAAAACATGGCACTACATAGACTGTAAAAAGGGCAGTTGTTTAAGTATGAGAGCAGAAGCAAGAAGGCAGAACAGCAGCATCTTACTCAACATTAGCAGGAAATGTACACTTTGGGTGGCTCAGATTTTTTACCTCTTTGGACATGTCTGTAAATAACCATGAAAGCTCTGCAAGCACTTTGGGATTACAAATAAATTTTAGCAAGCAGGCAAACTTTCAAATACAGAATCTGTGGATAGTGATGATTAACTATTTTAGTATGTATCTCTGGGGACCTTTTTTATTTTTATTTTTTTTAACAAAACCACAATACCATTATAACACTTTAAAAAATAATACTAACAGTTAAATAAAAATACACTTTTCTTAAAAAGAAAAATGCAAATCAAAACTGCGAAGAATTACCATTTTTTACTTATTAGACTGAAATGTCGGAAAGTTTGATAATACTGTATATAAGTCTATATCCTTTATCTGAAAACTTGAGATCAAAGATGCTTCAGAATTTAGAAATTTTTTGGATTTTTTTAAGGTTATTAAGTGCATATATCATATATAGGTAACATCCTTAGCAGGCTGTAATGAGTATATTATATTCAACATGCCAACTATAGATATTTCCACTAACAGTCTTAGATGAGATCAACTCAGATGTTCCTGTCAAATGAGTCCAGGTTAGGTCAGGTGTACCAAAAGAAAAAGACAGAGTTACACTTTATTATTAAGGACATTATCAGGAAACAATCATTTCTCATACATTATGGTAAAAGTATAAATATGTGCAATCTCTTTGGAGAGCAATTTGGTACTCTCTGACAAAATTCTAAATGCACATATACTTTGATTCAGCATTGTCATTTCTTCCTATTGCCCACACAAATAGGTTTCTTGTAATGTGCCCAAAAATTTTAGGTTTGCAAAAGTATTCAGTGCAGTTTTGTTTATGGTAGCAAAAAGATTAGCAGCAACTTAAATATCTGTTAAATAAAGTATGATATATTTATATAGTAGAGCCACTAAAAAGAATGAAATTTTTTTACTAATCTGACATGATCTCAAAGATAAGTAGAAAAAAAGAAAATGGCCCTGGCCAGTTTTGCTGAGGGGTTAGAGCATTGGCCCTCAGACCGAAAGGACTCGGGTTCGATTCCCGGTCAAGGGCATGTACCTTGGTTTCAGGTTTGATTCCCCAGCCTTGGTCGGGAGGCAACCAGTTGATGTATCTCTCTCACATCATTGTTTCTCTCTCTCTCTCTCTCTCTCTCTCTCTCTCTCTCTCTCTCTCTCTCTCTTTTTCTCCCTCCCTCCCTCCCTCCCTCTTTCTTTCCCTCCCTCTCCCCCTCCTTCCTCCCTTTTACTTTCTCTCAAAATCAATGGAAAAAATATCTTCAGGTGAGGATTAAAAAAAAGAAGAAACAAAATGCAGAACAACATTATGTACTTATGTTTTACAGAGAAAAAAAAGAAAAATTGTTTTGATGTTCACTTGTATGTTGTATTTAGAATATCTCTGAAAGGATATATTAGCAACTAAAAAATAGGATTGCTCTCCTGGACATAAACTGGAGGCTGGGATGAAAGGGAAATTTCTTTCTCTTTTCACCCTTTGGTATTGTTCCAATTGCCATGTGCATATGCCACCTTTTCTTTTTTAAAATTGAATCTCAAAATGTAGTAGGATGATGACTTATCTTACCCAAATACGATCTTAACCTCTTTCTGAAAATAATAATGAATTTAAAATATTTTTTTAATATCCTTTTATGTAATCTATATATAAAAGGCTAATATGCTAATTGTCCAACCATCTGACCGGTTGCTATGACACGCATTGACCACCAGGGGGCAGATGCTCAATGCAGGAGCTGCCGTGACATGCACTGGCCATTTACAGAGAAATGACACCACGGACCTGGTGCCCATAAAGCAACACTCGGCTTCCCCAAAGTGGGACACAGGCTCTGCCACCACCCAGGAGCGACAGCCCACCAAATCGCAGCCAACGCTGCCAAGACCCCATGGTGCAAAGTGCGGCCCACAGCCCAGCTGAGCCCGAAACGGTGGCTGTGGACGCTGGCTAATGACGTCACATAACAATGCATGGCTTCCTCTCCCTAGTGACTAACCTCCTTGTTGGTTCTTCAGCCCAGGAACACGACTTGCTTTATAGCCAGGTGGAAACATTTTACACTTTAACCAAATGTCTGTTTTCCCGTGCCTCATCTCATTTGATCCTCACAGAAGTCCTGGAGTAGGTAGATAGGAGACTTGGTGGAATCCTATTTTCTTTTCATTAGCCGGAAAACAAGATTTAGAAAGCTTAGAAACTTGACCCAACTGAAAAGAAGTAAGAAATGGTGGACCTTGAAAATGACTTCAGGTTTTCTCACTGTGCAGAATATAGTCAATCACTGCTGCAGTTAAATATTTCACCCTTTGTTCCCCCTGCATGATCTATAATAATAATCTGCTTCGTGTTGATATTTACTGCTGTGTTGCTGACAATTACCTGAAAGACAAGTTGGGGGTGCTTCACTGGGCTGGAAAAAGTTTAGCTAAATCAGAAAGCAGGTCTAATTAAGCAAATTTATCTATATATATAAAGCTCTCGTTAGCGCCAATTGCACGCGTGTGTTTCCATCTGTCATTGTCAATTGTGAATTTGGTTGACACTTCTATTATAGAGAAAGAGCAAATAGCGATATTAAAATATTCTAATTAATTTCCTTTCCATGTGCACGAAATTGTGCACTGGGCCTCTAGTATCCTATCTAATAATAGACAAACATGGTAATTAACTGTACCTCCGACACACTTCCCATTGGCTAATCAGGGCGATATGCAAATTAACTGCCAACCAAGATGGCGGCCGGCAGCCAGGCAGCTGAAGCAAACAGCAGGCTTGCTTGCTCCAGTGATGGAGGAAGCCAAGATTCCCTGCCTGCCGCTGCCGGCCTCTGAGCTGCACTCTAAGAAACAATGTTGCAATTATAGAAGCTAAACAAACTCCAGAAACCTGCTTTCAGCCAGCCGGCCTCGGAGCTGGAGCTACAACAGTGTTTCAATTATAGAAGCCAAACAAACCCCAGATACCTGCTTTCAGCAGCCGAGGTCTCAGAGCTGGAGCCGAGCCTCAGAGCTAAAACTGGCTCTCAGTTCCAGTGACAGCCATAGAAGGTAAATAAATCCCAGAATAAAAAAAAAGAAAAAAAGGAGAGGTTGAGAGCTTCAGTCACCCGCCAGCCTGAAAACAGC